CACAATGATATGAATAGAGCTGACGTTTATATTGAGTTTTGCATAGCCCTGATTTCTCAAAAGCTGTTTTCATCCAGGATGGATTTCAGTTTAAACTTGCCAAGGTCTTATCAACACCCCCGGCGGGAGTCGAACCGTGCCAGTGCAGCATGTAATCTCGACACGTTGACCACTCAGCCACATTCTTACGAGTGCCCTTGGGTCAAAGGGCAGATATGAATTTCAGGGAAATTCAGGCATTTTTAACGTTACATTCTATGCTGGGATTGTCGATTAAAAAAACTTATGTTCACTATAGCAATAGACGACTTCACTTTTTTCGTTATTGAGTCGGTTTTCGAGGTCGTCGATTTCTATAGCAACTATAAGTTTGCTTCATCGACGATCCAAACACAGAAGGTGATATGGAAAATGCCTGACTCTTCTTGAAATTCACATCTGCCCTGTGACCCAAGGTCATTCGTGACGATGTTGCGTAGTGGTTAATGTTTCGAGATTATACGCTGCACTGTCCTGGTTCGACTCCCGATGGGTGTGTTGATATGACTTAAGCAAGGTTGAAACTGCGATTCACTCTGGGTGATAGCAACTTTTGGGAAAGCAAGGATATGTGAAATTCAATGGGAACGTCAGCTCTACTCATATGATTGTGGAAAAATTCAACTTCCCGCCCTTCATCACCTTAAATTAGATAGGGTGAATACAGCCCTAGACCTATTTTAAACCGTTTCTCATTCAACTTGTATTATTTTCTCATTATTTTATTTGCCTGTCGTCATATAAATTGCAAATGGCACATCATTGTTATGAATTTGAAATATAAAAATATCGTTCATGATTTCTAAATGATTTAACAATGGTTTCATATGAAAACTAGGATTAGAGACCGAGACCTTTTTGCTATAAAAGACTTTCATTTCGATATAGAAGTGACTAACTCAAAGGCATATATAGATAAATCTCACAAAAGAGTATAATTATTAAGTAAATAACTTTCCTATTTTGCTTTTATGCAATCGCCACTAATGGTAATCCTGTCAATTTTGTATCCGTATAAAAATTATTCTTTATGCCTTCTGGTTCATAAACGGTTACACAATGCTCAGGGTGCATGCATCTAACTTAAAGGGGGTAGATACGAAGAGAAACTTGGTTTCGATGAATCTCCTGAGATAACATTGTTAGGGGGTACATAAATTCCTACTGATCTATAACGTCCAGACATTAAAATATGAATGACATGTTTTCAGTTTAATTCTTTGCAAGCAAAGGAAATTTCGTCTATCTAGCTATTCATATAAATAAGGATACTGAAAACTCTTCATTAAATAATATATGCTTTTTTGGCTTGCTTACAAGTAAAATGTTATTTCTTATCAATTATATCCTTCGGATAAGGACCTATATTTTGGCTATGCAGTGGCATTCAGTAAGACTTAAAATACTTTATTATTAACTGCATACTGCCACCTTTTGATATAAAGTTACCCATCTTTGAGTTTAGTATATTGGCTATAGACTTGTGAGGAACCTATCTTTTTATGAATTCGAGTACCCAAGGTACGTAGTTTACAAGGGTTATGAGGACGTAGACGATGTAGACGCTGCAGATAACTCTAGATGATTTATGACGAAGTCAGGGCCAGCAAATTTTATTTTTTGTTTGTAAGTACAGTTTAGAGAATAATAGTAAGCCGTTTTTCAGGCCATTAGGGTTAGGTTGGCTAGCATTGCTTGGCATATTATAAAAAATAGTATGAAATATAATATTTTTATTTTTATTGTACCAGTAAGATTCGTCGTATTAACTAAGTTTCTATGCCTTTTTAATCTAATAAGAAAAAGATCAAATTTTTTTTTACTAATATCTGGCATAAACAGTAATTAGTCAACATTTTTCTATTAAGAATTTTTTGGCTGAAACTGTCCAGGCAGAATTTTTCTATCTGAGTTTTCTTACGATCATCTTCTTTTTTAAGAGACACATTTTACTTTCGTCTTGACTTCATTTAATATGCCTCTAAAACATTTTCGATAAATAATTTCACCTAATTTTTCTGAAAGGGTAATATGTGCATCAAGAGAAATATTTACTTACATTGTTTATAGGAGGCGAAGAAAATGAGAACTATATAATACTTTCAGGACCAATCAGAGAAGGAACTCCTTCACCACATATGCTTTTCCGCGGAGCAAGCAAGGTGCAAAGAGAGATTTACAACAACTCGAATCTTAATACAAATAATAATTGCTCAGCTGACTCACCACAAAGTAGCTGCTCAGCAGTTACTGTTATTCCGTTCCCTCCACATTGGCCAACATCATCTTACCTACCGAATTTATCTTGCATACCTGGCGTAAAGACGCGTCATTTTCAGAAGGACTATGAACTACTTGAGGTACTAGGATTGGGAGCCTATGCGGAATGTTGGCGTTGTCTGCATCGTCATACTCGTAAATCCTTTGCAGTCAAAGTGAGTCTAAATTAATTATCTTATGCGAAAAGTTTGATAAATCTTAATTAATGCTAATTATATTAGAATATCACTCTAAGTTGGATCATATTTATAATTTTTAATTTAACTATCAGGATCTCTAAAGTTTCTTAGAATTCCATTAACAATAAAATTTAAAGATTCTGCTAGATGATATTAAGTTTGCATTGGCTTACTAGACAGAGAGGACCAATCGGAAATCAAGAGAGGACCTTTGCAGTGAGCGATGGTGTACAATCCTCGAAACAGGCAGATAAGAAAGGAATCCTACGGAGCATAGAGGGGACTCTGATTTGACCCGAAGGTAAAGGATTGCGAATTAAACCGCAAGCATCTGATCAAGACTCCCGGCATAATGGGAGGGATGTGAAAACCAGCGGGGAGTGTGAATAGTTTTCAAATAGTTTTAGATAAACAACTAGGAAATTGTGATATTGAAGGTTTGATACGAGGATATAGGGTATATTAATAGCCTAGAACAGAAGGAATGATACCACAACTGTTTAGTACACATTTGGTCAAAGGATCGACTTCACTTGTCTCTTTGACAAATTGTAGTGTGGTGCTAATAATGGCAAGGCTCACTGACGATGCCGACTACGATGCCAGACAAACGTCTGGGAATGTGCTAAGTCCACGGTCTGACACTGGAAATAATCATGCATACTATGTTCTCCGGACTAGGTACGTTCTTCTAGGTCTTCCTAAAAAGATAACAAAGTTCCAAAAACAAGGTCAAACAACTTCTATAGAACGAAAGGAGACCGCGACCATAGAAAAGCCCAAACAATCCTGGGCATCATATCTTGTATCTAAATTATTTTCTTTCATACCCCATTTATAGAGGTTGAATAAATAAAATTTCTATCTATTCTTTCACTTTCCAAGCTAGCTAATTATTAAGAATTCATTACTTATCTTGTTACAATATAAACAATATATATATATATATATATATATATATATATAGTTTACTAATCAGCTGTTTATAATGCGCATTGCTTGCATAAGATTACATCTAAAGCCTTAACCTTCTTCGCCTAAGATGCCTATTATATAGTTGTTTTTATTGTTGGGGGGAATTTCATTGCTTATGAAAGTCCATGAAGAAGAGATTCGTAGGTCAATCTCACTAGAAGAGGACGGATTAATCCCGTTGTACTGCTGCCGTTTGGCTTTTATTCGACGTTCAAGTTGACGCAGTCCATGAGCCCTTCTTCGTTTCCAGTTCAGACGGGCTGCTCTGTCGTCCTTCATATGATAGACATCATCAGAGGTGGAAATCATTCTTGTAAAAGTCGCAAATTAAAATTATGGCAATAAGACTATCCGGGTCTATCTTGCCTCTCAGAATGACTCAATTAAACAAGAAAAATTTAAAAATTAAGATATATATTCAACGGTTTGGCTAATTATATTTCATCCTGGTCCTGGTACATTTGCTTGAGTGTATGTGGGTGTGTGTAATATCTATAAGCAATATCGGTCCAAAATCAGGGTGACCAAAAAGCAAATGTCAGGCTCTGGTCATCAAGGCTTAATATAAAATGTCAATCAAGTATAAGTAGTTCCTATTCAACTTTCTACCATCGTTCCTCACATTTATCGTATTCCCTAATCTATTGAACTTAAGGTGATCCCTCATTTTGACCATGTAATTCCGCCAAAGAAAGCGTGTCCTCTTTGTCGGGTTTCTATATATTTATATGGTAATAATCTAATCGTTCTAAACGTCGATAAAGGTTGAGTAGTGGTTGTCATGGTTAGGTAAAATTATGTACATTATTTCATTTAAATGACACTGACACGTATATGCCTTTCCTTGGAGATCCAACAGAAAAACTTAAGACTAGGCTAAAGAATGCCCTTAAGGCAGTGGTTCCCAAACTTTTCCTAGTCGCAGCGCCCTTTTTCAATTAAAATTTGTTCATGTCGCCCTACCATAAATATGACTATTCGTAAGTAAGAGATTAAAATAAATAAAACTTGTGTATCTTCATTATTTTTTTTACTTTATTAATATTAAATTAATATTTAATAATTAACGTGATGGATGAGCCTTCAAATCACTGCACACTTTCTCAAATTGAAGCTTTTACAATATTTCGCGGCGCACAGTTTGGGGATCACTGCCTTAAGGGAAACGTAAGTAATGGTGAAATGGAGAAGTGGAAAATGAATTCGCTACTCCAGAGAGATGCAAGGGACCCTGCGGTTTACGGTCGTTCTAAGGTTCACAAGAAGGCTGTCCCTCTAAGATTAATTTTAAATAATAAAGGAAGCGTGATGCATTAAATCTCACGTTTTTTGTAGATACAACTAGGAAAAACTGCCGATTTTAGGCTACAATCAGTTAAAGATTCGTACGAGTTTGTAAAATTAGTTGATCAACACATAAATTCTGAAGGAGATAGGCTAATAAGTTTTGATGATTTGTCTATGAATACAAACTTTCCTGTCCAAGGAGCTATTCAAGCTCTGAAACAAACTCTGGAGGAGCATCCAGCGATACAAAAAGGAATAAGACTGAGTGTAGTTTCCATTATTGGACTTATTTACCTATCCATGAGTATATGAAGACCAAGATGTTGTGACCTCTGGTATGGTCGCAGTCTCCTTTCGATTTATATAAGTGGGTTGACCTCGTTGCTGCAACTTAGTCGTGTCAGGGTGGCTGATGATGCCGACTAAGATGCTGGCGAAACGTTTGAGAATGTACCAAGTACACTGTCTGATGCTGGGAATCATGAAAACTACTATGGAAGACGATTTCAGACTAGGTGCGTTTTACTAAGTCCCCCTGACAACAAGGCCAAGTTGCGAAAACGAGGTCAACCAACCTCTATCCATGAGTAGTACATATTTTACCTCTGATCGTAAATTATACGAACAAATAAAAGGACTTGCGATGGGATCTTGCCTGGCTTCCATCTTGGCGAACCATTATATGTCAAGACTGGAGGAACACTTCCCGCAAGAGGCAATACTAACCACCAAATTGTTGTTTAGATACATGGATGACTATTTTGTCATCTGGCCTCATGGTAAGGAAAATTTAGATAGTTTATTACTTTCACTTAACTAACCTGAAAGGAACATTAGGTTCACAATGGAAATGAAAAAGAATAAGCCTTTACTCTTTATGAATGTTTTCATCATTAGAGAAGAGGGTAAGTTAGGAAGAGGTGTTTATAAGAAGCCAGCATATGTTGGCTCTTTGCTTAATTTTCTTTCCAACCCTATTTTCAAGAGTAAGGTTAGAATTTTTAAGTCGATTATTAGGAGTGTGAGGCTAGCAGATAGCAATCATTTAACTAAAAAGTTGGAACGGCGGACAAATTTATTTCTAGAAAATAATTGCCCTTTGGGTATAATTGAGACTAATATCTCTTTACTGTAGAATAAATTTTCAGGCGGAGACTAGTTAGTCAATGATTTCTAGATCTGATAATGTCCATCAAATGATGGATAAAATCTCAGCCAGTTTTTACCGGAAACGAGAGAGGAAGTCTAATGGATTGCGTCAATCTGAATGTCGTATTAAAGGCAAACGGCTGCAGTACAACTGGACCCTTCCATCCCCTTCTGGTGAGATTGATCCAAGACCCTCTTCTTCATGCACTTTCATACGAAAGGAAATTCCCTCCAACAATGTTATCTCAGGAGATTAATCGAAACCCAGTTACTCTTCATATGTTTGTAGCCATTTTTGGCAAAAACCATACTTGCCTGCATATTTCAAAAGATTTTTCGACATATTTATATAATATTAATATTAGCAAATTGGTAAGACCAAATATTTACTCAGTTATTTAAATAATTTAATGCGTTTTTCTTTCGATTAATCAACAAAATTTGTATTATCTCTTATTGCTTTTTATCTCCTATTATTATTGTACTTTGGTGAGGGGAATCCTTTAGTTTGATTGATCCACAACAATGCATAATGCTTGTTGATTATGCAGTGTATTGGTTGTAGAAGCTATCTAGGCTTTATTATAAAGTCTATATTGATCTGTAAATGAGTATATAAGTTATAATACCATACCATCAATAATAGGTTTTTACTGAAATACGTATATATACAAATTAAATTTTCAATGTAAAAACTTTTTGTTAATTTATTTTATCAGATTATAGATAAATCTAAACGGGATCCTACCGCAGAAGTAGAAATATTAATGCGATTCTGTGATCTGCCAAATATAATTACATTAAAAGAAGTAAGTATCCGCATATAGCGTTAGGGTATATTACAATTAATTACTCTTTCTTTTACAATACCCAATATGCTTAATTAATCTATCCAGTCATTTTAATTTCAATTCCATCCTGTTTTTTATATTTGCTTAAAACTGAAGTTTAAAAAAATAAATGGTCTATTATTTAATTATTTTTCCTTTAGTTTTTTGCTTAAATTCTAACAATCTGACTTCATTAAATTATAAGTTTTTTTGAATATCTTATCGATAAAAGGATTCAAGCAGCATACAGATTACAAAATAGATTGGTAGTATGCTTATATAACTTTGCAAAGCTTTAGGGTGCTGTTACGCAGCTCATCTGATATTTCATGTATATGAAATTAAGTGTTACAACAACTACGATCAGTTTTAGATACGAAGCCTAAGAGGTTATGACCTCTATTTTGGTTGCAGTCTCCTTTCGATGTCTATTAGTTGTTTGACCCTGTTTTCGCAACTTGGTCCTATTGGCAGGAAGACCTAGAGCAAGGCACCTAGTCTGGATTCCGCAGTAGCCATGACAATTTTTGGAGAAGGAACGTGGACTTGGTACCTTTCTAGACGTTTCGCCGGGATCGAAATCGGCACCGTCAGTGCGTATTGTGGTTCACAGGGCCCAACTCCAATGCGTCAGCGACAAGCGAAGTCAATACATTGACGAAATATTTTGTGCTCTCTCTAACCATTTCCTATCCGGTTGTCTCGCTTTCGTCATATCACAACTTCTGACAAGGCTATATTCCACAAGAGATGTGCCCTTTTGGCGAATTTACCATGGCCCCAGCACTCTTGCCGTCTCCCTTGCCCACTCCCTTTTGAGTGGCTGATCCGACTCGCCCCTCTTACCAAGATCTACTGCATGGTCGCGTTGAGTTCTCTTTGATTTGTCTGGTTGACTGAATTCACTTAGTTCCAGCTCTAATGTACTTTCACTCCAGGTCCTATTTCTCAAGCCTTCAGTAGTACGTACAAGCTCGCCCCACAAGCATACGGCCTGGACTCTTATTTCTATGCCTGTCGATATTATCCATTGCCTTCACGCATCATCTCTTACATTAAACGCGTATATCCTGAGCAAACTTTGTTAGCCTGTTGCGTGTTAAGGGGATTTTTAGCCAATTTGGTCATAATTCCCAGTTTCTATGACCCAATCCCTCTCCCTGATTACGTGAAATACCAGTCCCCCAAAGTTGCAGTTGTTTATTCGAGCTGACTACACTCACTAAGAACGTCTTTGCTTCGTTTCCGAAACTTCTTCACCCTAATTTACCTTGCGACCCTTTTTATCTGGTTTACGATATATCCTTGATCCAAGCGTCTCCATTTTGCTTCTTCTTTTGCAATCCTGTTATCTCCCAGCTTGATTAGGTAATAAGCAAGGTTATCTTTAACTCTGCCTTCCAATCTTTGTTAATTTATTTTTTTCTTGAAAGGGTGTCAATGCACTCAGAAATCTTCCGTTTCTTCGTGTTTTCTCCGTATGAGGCACTTCTTTCTGTTTCCTTCAATCGATCTCGTGTCCAGTCTGTGCAATTAGTTCCGGGAAATCAAATCTTTGGGAATCCATATTCCTGCCGAGTCCTTGATATTTCTTGCTTTCTATGCTGATTCTTCTCCCTGTTTTGCCACTATATTTATGTTTTCATTCCTTGAACGCTGTATGGTTAGACGAATTGTATTTGGGTGCTGTGAACGCAAGACTCACTGACAATGCCGATTACGATACCGGCGAAACGTCTAGGAATGTACCAAGTCCACGGTCCTCCCAAACTTGTCATGAAAATTGCGGAATCCTGACTAGGTGCTTTGCTCTAGGTCTTTCTGTCAATAGGACCAAGTTGCGAAAACAAGGTCAAACAACTACTAGACATCAAAAGGAGACTGCCACCAAAAGAGAGACCATAACCTCTTGGTCTTCGTATCTCTGATTCATGGTTTATTATTGGTTTCCCTCAGTTATACATTGCTTAAAAAGTGGACAGATTATTTTGGTGGTATAATTTTAAAAAAATATTAATTTTCTCTTTCATCAATTCTGCATAA